GCCGGCGTTTCCCGCTCCCAGGGCCTTTCCCTGCCCGGAGGGATCGTCTCTCTCCCGTCCCGCCCGGGAGCTGGGAGGTCGTTAGCGGGGTTTCCTCGCCGGTGCCTGCGAGCCCTCCTCTGCCTTGGGCCTGCTTTTGCTTTATGTTGTCACAAAAGAGGAACGACGGAAAGTCGTTAGGATGGCTCACGGGAGCGCGTCTGGAGCGCGGGGCTCCATCCCGTCTCCTTTGTTGTTGCAGCGCTGCAGACCGCGAGGAGAGTGTTCCTTTATGGTCAAAAGGGGAAAAATAAATGGCTGTTAATCTCGTTATTTCCCTGTTGGACGTACGCTGAATTCCCTTCTTAGTTCCTTCTTTCTCTCTATACTTAGCAAAAGACTTTTTTTTTTTTTTTTTTTGCGCTACAGCGTTGTTCACTGTAAATTTCACATTTGTAATCTACATTATTTACAGATAGCAAAATTAATGTGAAGAACTGTGTTTACTACAAAACCATTACAATATAGTTTCAGTAATTTCACATACCAGTTTACAAAGCCTGAGGTAATTACTGTATGTTTGTCAGCAAGCCTGCAACGTCGTTTGTGTAGCAGTTGGGTTATTTCTGATGTAGCGCTTGTGGAACTGCTGCAGACAACTTGAAGACAATGGTTGCAGGGGTTTTTGTTTTTAAATAGAGGGCTGATGATTATATAGGGGAGAAAGGAGAGGGCTTCGGGGGGAGTATTTGCGCGTAAAACTGAACAAAACCCACCTGCCTAATTAAAATCGGTGATACTGCAATACACTTGAATTGTTGACTTTATTAAATTGAGATCTGTAGGGGAATGTATTCAAACTCATGGGTTTTCAAATGTCGTTTGTGTGTCATGGTTTTAGAAAAGGCAGCAGTGAGAGCCAGAGTGTCAAGGAGTGTATCTGTAGCTACGTCACCTTTCACATAGTGGTGGCAGTGTCTGTCTCTGTGCTGTACCCAGCTGCAGGAGAAACGTGGCAGATGAATATTTGATGAGGAACAAAGTACTGCTTAAATAGGCAAAATGCCCTTCTCCCTGCGTGGGAAAAACAGTGGGCTGGATTGCTGTCAGAACGTTCCCTGAGACAGCTTGAATAGCAAAGGCTGTCCTACCTCCGTTGGCTGGAGTCATTTCTGCGCCTGTTCTCCCCATCACGCTCAGTCTCGGCGCTTGATCTCTCACTCCTTTTTCATCAAACGATGAAAGAGGGGATCATAAATTCCAAGAGTCCTTGATTCCATTTTAGGCGTGGGAGAGAAAAGAAATGTAGGTGTTAGATCCTTTTTGGTCCATCCTCTTCCAACCTGATTCGGTAATGGTTTCATTGCTTGACAGTCCTCTCTCTGTCTCCACTCCTTAGGCTTATCACCCAGCTCATCTTTTTTTACCCCCAGTTAGCCTTGCTCTCCTTTTCTGGGCTCATGAAGTCCAGTTCTTCACTTCGTCAAAGGCAGGCAATGAGATAAATTTTAGTAACTCAAACAGCATCTTTGTTTAAGGAGGCGCTAACTAACAATAGGCATTAGTCTGCCATATACAATACTAAGAATCAACTGAAGCGATGTATAAGAGTGCAACAGATCTAGCTGTAGTCAAACCTGTTGTGGAACAGAAAAGTACAAGTGACAGCAGGGACAGTTTTAGTATCTAAACATCTTGTAAGGGAGGAGCCAAGTACAATATTTGCATTCAAGACCTACCTGCTGCTGAAAAACTTACTTTTGTTTATTTATTTTGTTAGCTTTCTGTGCATTGGAATTACCTGTGAAATAGGGTGGGGTTAAATCAATCAAAAGTGTGACTCGCTGGCACAGCAGCATGTATTTTGTACCTCTTTTTATCAGTTTAACTCAATTTGGCCCAATCTTCTGAAACGTCCTGGAACTACTCCTAAAGCAAGGTAGAACTCATGCATAAGGAAAAGGGAGTTGTAGTGCTCCTTTTTTCACAGTAGGTATCATAGTGTATGAATGTGTCTGTAAGGCACATTAAAATGCGCAAAGTTAAAGATCTGTTCCTTCTCTGTGGAAGTCTCTGGTTTCATTAGGCTTTAGCTATCGTAAGCTTTATCAATTGGGCGTAAGTAAGGGCATAACTAATGTACTCTTTCTCTTCAATTCCTTCTTACAGCTCAACATACTGCCGTCTTTTGGTTTTCTTTTTGACATTGATGGTGTACTGGTACGAGGAAAGACTCCAATTCCTGCTGCAAAAACAGCCTTTCAAAAGCTAGTTAATTCTCAGGGACAATTCTTGGTGCCTGTAGTATTTGTCACCAATGCAGGGAATTGCCTTCGCCAGAAAAAAGCTGATCAGTTGTCTCATCTACTGGGAGTTCCAGTGAGTAGCTTAAATCCTATTTATTTAGTTATTAACTTATGGTGAATGTGTCAAATGCATTCTCTTCCATTAAATGCTGCTCAGTTAATCAGTTTTGTCTTTCCCTTAAGCCCCCTGAAATGCTTTGCTGGAGGTATTACAAAAGTAAAAAAATGCTGTCCAAAGCTCATAGTATTTCCATTGGTAAAGGTACTGATTTTTCCAGTGGTAAAGCTAATGGTAATGGTATTTCTTTGCAACATTATTATTGTGGGAATAAATCTTGCCTTCTCCTTCTGAATCAAAAAATGTGTGTGCCAGTAACGTGAAACTCTGCTCTAGCAAGCTGAATGTCTTCTGTGATAATGTGCAAGACAGGAGCTTCCTGCCTCTTTTTGATACAAGTGGTAAAACTTTATTCCTCCCTGATCTGTGGGCGCTGCAGGACTTCTCCATTGTTGGAGACTGTATTTGAGCATTACTAAGATAAAGCCATAAAGTTAGTTCTGCAGTGCCTTTTGTTTCAGTAAGGGCCAGCAGACATGGGCATATCTGTATCAGTAAAATCCTGTGTGTCATGGGTAAAATGTCACCCGAATTATTTTGGGGTTTTTTAGATCTGTAAAGGTGATAAGTAGCAATTCATAATAGCATCCTTCCAGGATGAGAATTTTACTGGTTTTATACCTATTGCAGGAATGAGGATACGTAAACTAAAAGAAGGTGGTCTTCTGATACAATTAAACCAATGCTGCAGTCTAGCAAAGGGACCACAATTGGAACTAGGGCAGTTCAGATTCTTCTTCCCTATTTGTTTTCTACATGAATTTGGTGATTCTGTAAAAGTAGGAGATAAAACCTTGTGTTCATGTTGAATAGAGTAATTCTGGAAGCTGAAAGGGGTGTGTGTGACAATTTATCAGTAATGTATTTTTTTCTGGCATACTATCAATATGTCGTCTGTGAAACTTAGGAGAAAATGGTACGGTAGGATTTTAGGTAGATATGTATGATTGTTTTGTAATTCGTAGAATTTGTCACACCTGTTAATTAAATCTACATATAAATAACTTATCTGAAAAACAACAGACTCCCTTTGTTTTTAAATCCCAAACAGATTTCACAAGATCAAGTGATGATGTCACACAGTCCTCTGCGGATGTTCAAACGTTACCATGAAAAATGTGTTCTTGTATCTGGACAAGGACCGCTTCTTGATATTGCTCAAGAGTATCTTTTAAAAAAAAAAACTTTCTGTTTAAGTATTTTCCGTAATCAAGTTCAGGGGATCCTGTGGATCAAGTGAAGACCAAATATTTCAACACTACAAATCCAGTAATAAGCAATGGTAGTTCTTACCATGATGTCAAATTTATGTTTTGAAGATGGTTGGTGTGTTGATATTTGCTTCACTTTGTTCTATTGGTTTTTAATGAGGAAGGAAAAAAGAATTACTTTTTTGACTCATACGTAAATGACACTTTAGCACAAAGGGTTTGTGCTTGAGGATGAGAGCATGGCATTCTATCTATTATTTATCACATCTGACTTTTAGCTCAGTGACTCAAGATCTGCTTGTAAGCATGTGGCCAGGCCAGGTCACGTTGTTTTTGTAACCAACATCTACAGTAGAACTATACTTGAAAATATTTTGCTGCTTCTATACTAACTGCCAAAAAGAACTTGAATTATGTTGATATAATGGTGGTATCAAAGCTTCAAACTGTAATTTAATGACCTTAACTTTTGCATAATCTTCACTCATGCTTCCAGGAACTCCTTTTTGCACTTCTTCCTTTATTGGGATTTTAATTAAAGTTGGCATAAATCATAAGCTGTAAAAAATGTATATGTAACTTTTAAATATAAGTTTTATTTCAAATACAAAGCTGAGAAAAAGTTACTGAAGGAACATTCCAGTTAACTGTCAACATTTGTTAGGCATGGCTAAGAGAAAAGTATATTACAAGACTGAATACAAAATACAAAAAACATATTTCTGTTAGATAGCATTTTCATATAGGATAATCTTATCTTAAAGTAACTTTACAAATGGCCTGTGGTATTAATTCCAGTACAATATCAGGTGGTTTAGTTTGTATAACTGGTATATTTAAATAGCTCTTATTTTCGTTTGCATTGTAAGAAGTTGTCTTAGTATTGAGTAGCATCACGACTGCTTTTGACATAAATGAGCAGTTTTAGTTTGATTACGTCTTGTTAACTAAGTTTAAATTAATGGGATATATCAGCATTTAAGAGCACTCCTATGCAAATCAGGAGGTTATTTTTTCCCTTTTGGTCCTTTCCTTTTTTGATATGTTCTGGTATTTATCTTAACTACCTGTAGAGCATAATTAAACCTGATTGGTCAGTCCACCATTTTGCAAGAGACTGAGCTTTACGGTGTTTGTTTATCTAGTAATACGTTTGCAGCTGTAATGGCCTAAGGAAAGCACAGTTTGTGGAGACAGTATTTTTTCCTCAACTAGCTCATATTTCTTTCCTATAATAATTACACAAGATGTTGTCTAGCTGCCCAATAAACTTCTTTTTGTGCTTATGTAAAGATGATCTTGGAGTATTGCAGGTGTAGAGCGGCTTCTTGCTTTTCATCTCATATTTTGAGAAAGATTTATGTATAATTTCTGTCTTTAAGATTTCAGACACACAGGTCTCCCATTTACAAATAATGGGATGATCATCTTTTTATCTCACAGAAGAAAAAGTCAGTCTTTGGTACGTTGCTTTCATTCCTAAATAATTTCCTTTACCAGCTAAACTGCATATGTTAAAATGGAATTACTGATTTTTAAAATCTTTTAATATAAGCAATTCTGTATCCTTAACTGGTATTTTCCCAGCCTTGGTTTCTGTCAACCTATTACCATTGAAACATTGCGGGAGAAACACCCTTTGCTAGATGTAGTTGACCATGACAGAAGACCTAATGTTCTGGTGAGTGAGTATTTTTGTTTTAAAATTCTTTATTTGCTCACTGAATGACGTTTTATAATAGGGGTCAATATTTAAACTACTGAGCTAATGCTGTTGTTCTCACATTGTATTTTGACTTTACTTGTCTGCTTCTTTATTTGTTTTATTACAACATGTTCAAGAGCAACTGTACAGACTTTTTTCCTATCAGTGGTAATTCTTTAACGTAATCTTTGATTTTTTAACTTCCTGTTGTGGGAAAACTTATAATTTAGTACAGATACCTACTTCAAAATCTGTCTTGGAAAGCTTATTAGCTTCCTCAGATGTGTGGAAGATAAAATAAGCTTTTTCCTTCAGTATAGGATTGTCTTGGTATTGTTTCTAGGCTGTGAAGTTGTTTTCATTGTAAATTAATGCTTTGCAGATGACTAATTTTTCTCCAAAGGACTCCCTTTCTTGTTTATACCATTCATACAGTATGGTTTCAACTGAATTGTGCAGAATTTAAAAAAGAAGTGAATACGTACACAGTAAATACATGCATGTATTGTACATATTCAGGGTCAGTGTATAGAGTGGATTTTTTCCACGTGAAGTCAAGAAATTCTTTGTGGTTCATAGAATCCATAACTCCGTTGTATCACCTTTTGCCTTGCTTCTCAACCATGCGGATGTAGAAGTTCAAGAAACTGTTAATGTATTTGTCACCATAGGGAGTAAATCATGAAGTGCAAACATTTGTTTAGCAAATATATTATGTGTTATACAATGTATTTTTCTTTCTTAGTGTTAAAGAAATATGTTTCAAAAACTGTTTTTCAAATGTCTTGTTAATACTAGAGGCCTCTTACTCTTGTGGAAAAATAAACATCCATACTTTCATACACAAGTAAATTAAACAACTGAAGCTTTATAGCTTGCCAGAGGAAGTTAAATAGATGTAGGTGGCTAGCGAATGTAGAACACGTTAACTTGTCTGCGGTCCATTTGCCATGAGATTTCACTTCAGAATTGAAATACAAGTTTCTAAGTAAACCGACGTCAGGTATATACCAAAAGAGAGACTGCATTTCCTGTCAGTGCTGCAGAAGGCAACTGTAGGAGCTATACTTGAATTTATTCTGTTAAAAATAGTAGTAGATGTTTAATCTTGTAGAAAACTTTCATTTTTTTCTTATTTCAGTACCCCTCTGCTGTGGAGCTTCCCAAGATTGAGGGTCAGTTATCTTTATTTAACTTGCAACTATCCATTAATAGATGAAATATCTTTATTGTACTTTATAATTAGAATTTATTTTTAGATTGCTGGGCACTTCAGAAAGTTGGCTGAGACAATTCTAAAATTTCCTTGTTAATGACATCAATCACTAATTTGGAATGTATCACGTGTGATAAAGCTGGGTTTTTTTAATGTGTGCAGTTTTCAGCCATGTGTGTTTGAAGTTTCAGAAGGTAGGTGAGGTCTGCTTTCCTTTTCATCTTCCTTTAACGGGCTATTGTTGCCTTCCTTTCAAAGATGAGGAATGAATTGACATGTGTTCAGAAATAATCGATCTTGTTCTTACAGTAGTCAGGATGGTCACTTCAGAGTTGTAGTATGAGAAGCATCTTGTTTCAGCACACTGTATTCACTCTCATCTCATCTGAAGTACAGGAAAGTAGAAACTGGACTTCAGGATTTAAAAAAATCCATGTCAGATTATTGCTGGAGACCAGAAAAATGTCTAAAAACAACATTCAACATTCAAATTTCACTTTAAGATGAACAAAATAACATCTCTGATGGATTATTTAAATACTGTATGTAAACATAGAATTCACAAAGGTATGGAAGACTTAGAAATACAATTTCGAAGTTAATATTTTGTGGTGCTATGGAGAAACTTAGCCAATTAAAAAAAAAAATTTCTTAAACCTGAAGATTTCTTGTTACTTCTGAGATTTTCTGTGAATGAATGGGTATGTAATATAGTAAAACCCTAAGATAAAGTTATTGTGACTATTTCATCAGTTCATGGTTATATCAAATTACTTGTTCAGTCTCTTTAGACCGTTTTAGCGTCAGAGATTTGGTGCCCTGATAACTAATTCCATAACTCCATCTTGTAATTCTTGTTCTCATAGCTGTTGTTTTGTTTGGGGAACCAGTCAGATGGGAAACCAACCTTCAGTTGATAATAGATGTTTTGCTGACAAGTGGCTATCCTGGAAATCCGCATCACCATGAAAATTACCCTCACATTCCTGTACTTGCTTGTAATATGGATCTGATGTGGGTAGCCGAAGCGCAGTCTCCAAGGTAAGTGCAATTATAACGTGTGCGTATCGTGATATATTTGGGATTTCCCCAGTAGTATTCAGAGTCAATACTTTTATACAAAATGCTTGCTATAGCTTCACAGTAGGTCTCAGCTTTCAATACAATGTCTCTAAAGCAATGCACTTTCAGCAAATGCTGCCTTATTACTGTCAACATTATTGCATTCATGAAATCAGTTACTCAAGATAAAACCTGCTTTTAAGCTCTAAACCTTTTTGTTTCCCCACTCCCAGAAGAGAGGGAAAAGATGGGTTTTTGCCTGAGGGCCTCAGAGTCTGAGTTCAAAGGAAAAAATTACCAAGGCCATTGTTTCATTTCATTAGGTCCTTCTTTGGTATTTCTCTTCTCCACCCGACAGTTTCTGGTAGGGTAAAGAATTGACCCTGCTAGTTGAGAGCAGTGAGTGTTTTTGAGCTGAGGACAATATAGTGAGTCCTTTGGGAAAGATCCACTGTAAAGTTTGTTTTTTCCTTTGAGTTTGACAGTATGAAAAGTTTGCACCTGTCAGTGCTGTTACCTTCACTATTGGAATATAATGCCATGACTACATTGTTTTAAGCTGTTGTTAATAATTACTGAAAATAATTTTATGCACATTTATTGTTATTTCATAATATGAAGCAACAAACAGGGTGGAGAGAGGGAATGAAGGGTTAATTCAGAAATCAGAAAAGCTAATTCTGTACCACATTTGAAAGTGCTACAGCTGCTTCCTTCTTTGTAGCTTTTTTCCTTAAAAGCCTATTTTGATTTCTAGGCCACTAGAGACTTAATTTCTTTATTAGTGCACCTCATATATCTCTACTGGCTTCTGATGCTCATTATATTGGTGTTTTAGGTTTTTGTAGGCTGTAGATACCTGGTTTGAGCAGATAGACTCATCTATGCGCATTAGAAGTTACCTAACAGCTCTTCTTAAGTAGCATGTGTGATTTATTGTATATAGAACTGTTGTATAGCAACTTTTTATTATTCTTAGGGTGTTTTTGGTAATTCGATATTCTCAAGTGATACGTATTAGTTCATCCCCAGTCCCGCACCCTGACTTCAGTAATGAAGTAAAACTGCTTTTTTTCATCATGAAATTACATCTTCTAAATTACTGATTTACTGTCTTGGTTGATGACCCATCGTCACTGTTTGCACCTTGATCAAAATAACTGAGTGAGTTATCAAAAGAATGCCGTAAAATTATAGTTTGTTCCTTGATCCTCCTTTGCATCTATTTTTTTAGAGAAACGCGTGAAGTTTTTTTGTTTCCATATTACAAGTGGGTTTTTGTATACTCTTGTGTTTAAGGAGAGATCAATTTTCCTTCTGTCTGATTCTAACTTTCCTTTTCCGTTTCTCCTCTGTTAATTTAGCTGATTCTGTTAGGTCCCTGCAAAGAGTAGATCACGGGCTAGGCATTATTTCAAGAAGCATCGCTTTTGTAACCAGGGTATCTACTTAAATGCAAGTAACACTAACACAAACCATTGCTGCATTTTAAAAATAGAGGTCTGTTGTGCTGTCCCAGTAACGTGTTTTTATTGTGGTGTTTATTGTTCGGCTAATCAGCACTTAGTTTTCAGTGAAACACTGCAAAGAGTAGATCACAGGCTAGGCATTATTTCAAGAAGCATCGCTTTTGTAACCAGGGTATCTACTTAAATGCAAGTAACACTAACACAAACCATTGCTGCATTTTAAAAATAGAGGTCTGTTGTGCTGTCCCAGTAACGTGTTTTTATTGTGGTGTTTATTGTTCGGCTAATCAGCACTTAGTTTTCAGTGAAACAGCTGTGGAAATGTTGCGTGCAACCTGAGGGAAATTTGATAGTTACAGGATATGATTTATTCCTAAAATATCATGAAATACAAAAGCCGTGTTTTTTTTTTCTGTACGTAATATAACTTGATTTGTCTTTATATCTGTGTAGGTTTGGGCATGGAACATTCATGGTTTGTTTGGAAAACATTTACAAGAAGATCACTGGCAAAGATCTGAAATACGAGGCCTTAATGGGCAAACCTAGTAAACTGACCTACCAGTATGCGGAATACCTCATCAGGGCTCAGGCAGCAGAAAGACAATGGAAGCAACCTATTCAAACTCTTTATGCTGTCGGGTAAGATATCATAGGTCTTAATGAGTTCAACAGGAAATTACTCACAACATAAATACTAGCAATGAAAAATAAACAACTCTTACTACTTTGTTTCTTATACCATTGGGACCACCTAACATTCTTGGTGCTATGGTGTACTTTTTGTAATGTTTTTGAGCCTCACTGTTTCTAACCTTGAAGATTAAAAATACTTTGCTCTTTCTATGTGTAATTTCTGTAGAAGCACAAAAAGTGGTATATGCAACTAAGATTTCTCCCGTTTTTTTTTAATTTTTTTTTTTTTAAATTTCTGTAATAGGCTGTGTAAATCTAACAAAAAGAATTTGTATGGGTGTTTTGTTTTGTTAGGTTTACTGGTATAACACCAACAAGCTTTGAGTAAATGATGGTTATTAGGGAATGTAGAGCTAGAATTTATTTGTGAGGTCATTAAGCTCAGTCATATGCTACTGTGCATGCTGTCACATCATAGAATCCTTTTCACAGAAAGAGATAAAGCTGTATTGTGTTAAAGACTGTTCCAGAATCTCCAAGATGTTTGGAAATATAATAAGCTCATTCATGGACTGCTAATACCTATCCTTGATTTCCCCTCCCTCTGCCCCAGTCTGCAGTTTCAGTATGGAGTTACTCACTTTTATCATATGTCATGCTTAATGAAAATGGTGTAATAAAACAGCTATAGGATTGGATTTCTTCCTACCTGCATACTTCCACATAAAGTTATGTAAAGTATAAAATAAACTGTTAAATTGAAACCATAAAAACGTCTTTCATGCAATTGAAATTTGACAACTAGAATTGCACTGCTGACGAAACTTTCTTCTTATATTTCCAGAGATAATCTCATGACTGATGTCTATGGTGCTAACCTTTACAATCGCTATCTTGAAGAGAACTCCAGAAAAGGTTCAAAATCACGGATTCAGGCCAAAGTTGCTGGTGGCAGAGGATCTGCCACTCTCTCTCAGGATGATGAAATAGACAACAGTTGGGAGACTGAATTAGCAGCTGCAGCTGCTGCCCGCTGTAGGTCTGTTCTTGTTTGTACTGGGGTTTACAACCCTCACACAGAGGTACCCTTGGATACCAGGGAGAGCATAACTGAAACAGTGTTCCACGGCCACAGAGATTTTAGATTTGATCCTGGTTTAGTCGAACCAGATCATATTGTACCAGATGTGGATGCTGCTGTAGACCTGGTCTTCCAGCTGGAGAACTTTGCACCTAATTGAGATGACATGATTGCTTAAGGACTACTCAGTGCTGTGCTTTTCTTCCCAAAAAACAAACTGTGCTTTAAAATCATGCCACAAACTGCTGCTTTCTAAAATTCTTAACTTTTGAATTAATATATTTAATATAAGATTGTATTAATATACTTAGGTATATTAATATACTTAATATAAGTGTATTAGATATCAATAATGCTTTTTTAAAGTACTTTGAAATATGTGATTTCTTGCTTTAGTTGCCCTTTGCTGTCCTCCTGTTCCCTATGTTGGGTATTTTACTGCCAATTTTTCGTAGTAGCTTATGCATGTTACTGGTACTTAAATTCCCACATGACAGTACATCTTCTGTTTGCTGGAAGATTTAGCTTGTAGGTATTGGGGATCTTGAGGATATCAGATTGTGGTGCTGGGGTCATTCACACAATTACAAATTGGCTGGTACAGAGCACAACATGTATTGCTGCTTGTTAGCCTGCAAGGAGTGAGTGCTCTTTCAAATCAGAGTGAAGTTCAAGTCTGTTCTGCTACTTTGTACTTGCTCCCTATAACCCTGCAGCCTTTCTTTTTCGCTGTTTTCCCATGTGTCTGGAGCTGCTATTGCTCATCTCTACTCTGACATGTAAAGCCTTAATAGAAATGCCCGTGTAAGATGGAGAAGGCTGGCTTGTTAATGCCCTTTTTGGAACTCCAACTAAGCTGAACAGAGTCATGTAAGGAAAGCGGCTAACATTGGGTGTCCCGTGTGGCATAATACCTGGCCTTTTTGTCCTTGCCTTTTTATCTGCACTTTTTTGAGGAATTTAGAATCTTAGAAAGCTTTAGCAATTATGTTTCGGGCATTTCTGTCAGTTGGACTTTTCCACTGAATGAGTGACTACTGTGTGGGCAAAAAGTGCCTAGTAATTTACTTGAAGCTTCATACCGCTGTGGTAATTAACTGGCCTTTAGTGTAATATATTTCATCTTGTGTCAATGTTATATGTTGTTTGGTTCGTGGATTTTATAGCTGTTCATTTAAAAAAAAAAAAAAAAATTATTTTGTTGTTTTTTTAAATTCTGTTAAACATTTTCATAAAAAAGATGTCTTTGCAAATATTTTTGTGTTACTTTGTTATAACACAGTATTTGCAAATATGTGTTACTTTGTTATAACACAGTATATAGTGTACTTGTGACATAAGGTTGGTTGGTTCCCCCCCCCCCAAATTAGAAATTGTACAAAAAAAAATGTGTGGGTCTTCAGTTTTCCCAAGTTCTTGCAGAACTAGCAGAATGCTAGCTTAAAAGCATTGATAGGCAGATGGTGGCATAAAGTGAAATGATTTCCTTGCCAATTTTTTCACTGCTTATTTTCCTGAAATCAAAATCTGAAAACTCACATCATGAAGAGAACATTGCTGCTATGAAGCGACATTTTTCTTGTTGTGTTTTCTCCATTTGCTAACCACTGTAATCCCCCTCTCTACTATCAGGATTGTTGATTCATTCACTCATAATGTTTCGTAAGTAGCTTTCAACATATCTTGCTGGATCCAGTTTAAGGACGCTGGTCTAAACAGTGTATTTCCTGTTTCTTCACTGGGAAAGTATTACAGCAGCACATTCTTGCCTTTTTTAATTGGTTCAATAAACAGATATATACCTATTTCTTCAGCACTTTTCTGTAATACGCCAGTTATTTGCAAAGTATGCCAAATCTTTCTAAGTAAAGATTGTAGTTTTGTAAAATGTCAGGGTGGCTGAAGTTGCATTGTTTCAACGCTGAAGCATGTTGCAGAGCTGTCTTAACTATTACCGGAAGCGGTTTCAGGCTGTCAGTGAAGCAAGGAATAAAAATGTGAAAGTTGATGAAGAACAGGAAATGTTCAATTTGTTTCTTCTTTCCCCCCCCCCCAGCATATGCATGAACACTTGAAAAGGTTCATGAAAGAACTGTGTATACATTTTTTTAAACTCATCCCTCATGGAAACATTAACTTACAATGCATATGTAGAAAAAATACTGTTTGGCTGCTACTCAGGCTGCTACTGTTTTTTTAGCTGAAAGGAAGACAGGTTTTTAGTCTATATCCCTCTTAGACCATTTAGGCTACGTCTGCGTTGCAGGGGTGTGAATGTTGCCTGATGAGTCTGCTTGAGCTATCTTTAATGCGATTCTTCATATGAATGTATGACCGAGTCCCGATAGTGGACTAGGGTGCCACTAGATTTGGAGCTGTATCAGCACAAAACAAAAACCAGGCAGTTGTTGCCACAGATGGTGGACAAAGATGATTAATATACATGGGTATTACTAGAAAACACAAGAGAAATGTTAGTGTAGTAGGCACTTGTGGTGGTATACCAGTGAGCTAGGCAAATATTTTGGTGATGTATCACAAAAAATAAATTTTTAAGGAAGGATTTGAAGGAGTATAGTGAGTTACCATTGAGGATGTTTACCTGGAGCTCTTGCCAAAGGTGAAGGGCCTCACAGCATCCACTTGCTAGATGCTCCCACAACTTCATTGCAGTGCTAAGCTAGGTACACTGGAATTAGATTGTGTATTCCCTAATTAGTACTGCAACCACACAGCACGGATCTAGCTCTAGAGCCTGAAAGCAAACTGCTTCCTCAGTGACATGTTCCAATGTTTATGTGCACCGAGCACTTACGCTGCAGTTAGAATTTTGAAATACTACTGGTGTTAGTGGCATAGCAAACTCCTTGCCAGAGGTCCTTACGCTTTGCAGAATGAGTAGAAGAGCATGTGTGTTCCTTCCTCAGGGAGTCCCAGTCCAGTTTACACTTTTACTTAAATTTCTGGTGAAAATATTTGTGCCAAGATGCTAGTATGTGACTCAGGCAAACCTTCCATTCCACTTGCTTTACTGAATTAATACTGAATTCCAGCAAAAGACTTGTCATCTTTATCTTTTTATTAATGTGACCCCTCAAAAAGCACGCATTGTTCATTATATTGTCATTTAATGTCTTATGAATGAAGATGCTACACTGACAGACTTCTAAGTCTTTGAATTTTGTGCCTCCTATTCACTCAGGAAGTGGTACAGATGAGAATTTTTTTGAAAAGAAGTGTCATAAAACATTGCATCAGAGTTACCACTAATTTCCAACATTTCCTGCTGTGGTACTTTAAAGTGAAATTTAATGATTCTTTGTTAGTAACAAGCTAAGATGTGGAAATCCTTAGAAGAAATCTCAATCTCTAGTACTGGAAAGGTGCTTTTTTCAGAGTTCTTAAGGAAAACTGGCTTCAGTAAAATGTTCTTTCTAATTATTCAGCTAGGAGTGAGATGAATGAATATTATATTAGGTAAGAAAAAGACTAAGACCCTGTCTTCATTTTTGCTCTCCTTTCCTTCAATGTCCTCTTACCTGGATTTTTACTTACTTCTGTAGTAAGTATATATTTTATAAATATATATATTTATAAGTATATATTTTCAGCATTAACATTTACCTCTTTGAAATAGACAGTATTTCCCACGTTATGTTCAGTGTATTTCAGTCATAAAATAGGTAAGCTATTGGATGTTACAATACTTTCAAGTTTAAAATGTACTGTTGAAACACCTAAGTGAACAGGATGTGCAGAAATAGATCACTGAAACCACTTTTAAAAAATACTTCTGAGGATCTTGCTGAAGTTTCTTC